ATCATTCCATGGAACGATATAAGGAATTTGATCAGGGTGGCCAGGATCCCCCATAATGCACGCGCAACCTGGTGGGTTGAAAAGCAAGCTTTTATTAGACGGCCCCTGAGATCCGCGTTGTCTTAGGAAAAAGTTACAAAAGATTTTCAATTTATCTGCCTTAATATTAAACCCATAATTTAGGAGAGTCCATCTCCTAAAACTTTGAAAATTTGACAAAAAACAATTAAGGGGTCCTTCGGGAACAGAACTCGATTGTCCCATTCCGTCTGGATTAAAGCAATTTACAACACAACACAAATGACACAAATAACAATTAGTACGACAACCGACACAAATAACAATGACCACGATAGTACTGTGGAACGTTCCAACCAATTTCAACTTTTACCCGGGGCAACACAGTGGTGTCCCATGTGTGCCGGTGGCGGGGAGTTATTGTCTCATCAGACCTCCCTTCCCAACCAGGGAGGGCCTGGCGATTACTGAGATCCCGGACGAGCCCCCAAATGTTAGTCCGTAATCTCAATAATCACCCGCACGCTCAACCTGGTGGGTTGAAAAGCAAGCTTTTATTAGCCAGCCGGCGGCGGAACTCTTACAGTTTGCCTGAGATCCGCGCCGTCTTAGGAAAAAGTTTGTGTTTTTATAGACAGCTGCAACTCCTTCATACGTTATTCGCAGTTACCAGTTCTTCATGGGTGATATCTTATCTCATGGTTGCAGCAAGAGCAGGGTGGCTCAGCATAAGTAGCAAGATATGTTCACAGAAGCAGATAGTGAAATTAGGTACCTAGTCACCTCAACCTTATTAACTTCTTATATAGCCTCTCTTTGCACAGGGTCCTACAGAATTGCCTCTTAATCTGGACTCCCATCATGATTTAGCTGTTCTCAGTACCACTGTTTTTCTATATTAAAGCACAGCACTAGCTTACAAGCACTGCATAGGTTTTACTTCATTCAGAAGCCATCCACCACAAGGCAAATTAGCCATATATTTGTTTGAAATTAACAGACTCATTAGCTGCATGGTAACAGTAAACAAGTTAATGATGTGGAAAAAGGAATGCCAAAAACAGGAGACTGTCTATATTAGTTACTCTAACAAAAAGAAGAATTACACTCAGAGGAAGTGATCTTTAGTCAAGGTTCTGTACAATTCCCAGAAAAAAAAAAATGGCAGAGGGCTTCTCTCCAACACCCAAAACAAAATAAAATTCAACCTTGAACTTGATGAGCTCTGCCTAGATAAGGCCCACATGGTTTGGAGGCTGCCTATGTGCCTGCACGCAAGGAGCAGCTGCTGCACTGCAGAGGAGCTTGCTCACGGGTTCCACCGAGGGAAAGGACACAAGATAAGCAGCAGTTTAACCAGGCTCCTGCCTAAAGTTGTGTACTTCACTAGGGTTTAATTAATCCAGATAAAAACATATCACTAACATTATAGAAATTATAGACACCAGTGGGGAGGAGACACCATTGCCTATTTTTCAGGTTTTATTTTGTTCAGCAAATGCTGTTTGTAGATTTTCACTGCAGACGCAATGAAATGGATAATATGGCTGAGGCCCAAGTGTTGTCTGATGAAACAATGTATAAGCTGTAGCAAATCATTTTATTTCTCCTTACCCCTTTCATTTGCCATCCTTTATCTTGATTAAACTGATAATAATAATTAGATAGGAACTGCCTCTCGGCATTAGTAAAAATGTCATACACGGCATCCAAATACTATCATGGCACAGAGTAATGACAGGAAGACATGATCTTTCTTTGGTGGGCAGCCAAATGTTTTCAGTGGAAGCCTGTACATAGTGAGTCAGTCTTTTTCCTCTTAGGCAGGTTTCATAACAGTTACAAAACTGTCCTAGCTCCTTCAAAATAAATCATGTCTAGACATTGCTAAGATGTAGTTAAGGGTTTGTGTGTTAATGCTAATGCAAGTTTGTTGCTGGTAAAGTATTAAGTCTAACTGAATCGAGGTTTGTTCATATATTTTCATGTGATGGGCTTGTAATCATCAGCTGCATGGTAAAAATACTTCTGTGAGACACAGCTACCAGAAAGTAACCACCAATAAAAAAAATAACAACTCTGGGGTATAGTTCATATTTTCTCCTCTGTATCAAAATGTTTAATCTATTTCAAGTAGCTTTCATGTTACAACAATGTCAAAATAGCATAAAGCTTGCAAACTGACTCTTCATTCATTTAAAATTAAATTCAGCAAGTTTAAGGTGGGGGGGGGGGTAATTGTCCTATTATGACCCAGGCAGACAGTGAACACAGATTACCAACATAAAGGCTTTAAAGCAGTATACAACACAGAGTAAACAAATGCTCGCAACCAAGAATTTTAGAGAAGATTGTTTTAAAAAAATGACTCAAGATGAAAAAGTATAGAGATGATTTCAAAGGAAAATCAAGACCACTTAAAAAAAAAAAAAAACGAATTACTAGTCATTCACTTAATTCAGTCCTAATTAAATTGTTCAGATTGAAACATCTATTACTACTGCCTAAAAACATATAGATTCTCCATGAAAACAACCCAAAGCTAAAACAGCATGCTCATTAGGAATAGTAAGACTTTATTTTTAAAAAGAGTACAGTTATTTTTCTGAATTTCCCAAAAGCATTCCTTGTTTTCCTTCCAAGAATATTCATCCTCATAAATCTCCTGCAAATATAAACAAAGAATGGGAAATACTGTGCGAGTCTGCTGCATACATAGCCGCAAGCCAGGCCAAACAACTCAACAGGCACCCGGCTATTATTTACTGATCACATCAGGAATACACAGCACTTGGCTGGCAAATAGAAAGCAGAGAGGGCAGCATCCTCAGAACATATGGCTTTCTGTGTGGGGAGCCCCTTGGGCTGAATGCAGCCTGAACCCCAGTAATATCAGCAGGGCCCACCTATGTACAAGCACTTTGGGAAAGATCCAGAAGAGAGGATGCAAAAGCCAGGCAGCATATAGCATTCATGTCTGAAACTAACGTTTTACATGATGCTGTTCTGCTCTACCATCATTTGTAGGAATAAGAACATTTAAGTGTACATAAAATGTTGATGTTAAAAAGATGACATAAAAATACAGTAAGTATGTGTGGAAGAATTGTTTGAAAGCAGGAACTGAGAGGAAAACTAGGGCCTAACAGAAGTTTTGGCATTACAGTAGCTTGCCGTCTGAAACTAACGTTTTACATGATGCTGTTCTGCTCTACCATCATTTGTAGGAATAAGAACATTTAAGTGTACATAAAATGTTGATGTTAAAAAGATGACATAAAAATACAGTAAGTATGTGTGGAAGAATTGTTTGAAAGCAGGAACTGAGAGGAAAACTAGGGCCTAACAGAAGTTTTGGCATTACAGTAGCTTGCCTGGGGTGATACACAGTCGCCACTTCCAGGATGGTTGGTACGCCCGGACTCTGCTCCTCCACGGTTCCCTGGGCAACGCAATCTGCCCTCCTCGCAGCTGCAAAAGGGAGTAACGGAGGATGGAGCGAGGTGGAGACA